GAGCATGCCCTGCCATTGCTGAATCTTTGACTAACGCCTGGTATTCCTCTGCGTTTCTCGGTGGTCTGTTAATGGAACGCTTATGCTCACCGATTCTGGTGTGCAATTCCCTGGCTGTCTGACTTATATAAACCTTTGTGCAGTCGTGACATTTTATCTTGTATACACAGTTCCTAGTCCTATCAACCGGAAGGCGATCCTTCAAATGCACCAACCCCGAGCGTAAATTTTCCCCTTATGGAAAGCTACTCTAATGTTAGCCGTATTCAGTACTCTTCTAATGACTTCAGATGTCCCTGCTTTGTATGGAATGACCGCTGTTCCGATCAACTCCTTGTTGCGCCTTGGTGTTGGCACCACTACCCGTCTTAGTTGCCGCTTAATTAAACCCACTGGGTATCCGTTAGCTTGAAGTCGCTTTTTTACCTCAACTTGTGCTGCTCTTCGGTCAACCTCCTCTGTACACAGTGCTCTCACTCTCCTAAACATCGCTGAGGCTATGCTAGCATATACTGCTTGTGGATGTGCAGATGAGTAGTTTAAGACCGCACTGCTATCTGTTGATTTCCGGTATACAGTGGGTTTTAATTTCCCACCACTCTTGTGTGTCATGCAGTCAAGGAAAGCTAGTGTACCCGATGTGGATTCTAGCTCCATGCTAAACTTAATGTGGGGGTCCAGTGTGTTCAGATGTTGAAAGAATTCATTCACCTTATCCCACTTTATCACAACGAACGTGGAATCTACGTAACGCCAGAACACCCTTGGTGGACACTCGAGTCCGTTTAAAGCTTTCTGTTCGAAGTCTTCCATGTACATGTTGGCGAAACGTTGCCCAGAAATAAATCCACCGATTGTTTACCAAACCCCTCTGAAACGATGACTTCCCAATCGGTCCCAAACATTTTCCAAGTGATTGAAACCCTACCTTCACTGCCGTTTGCGTCAGACTTTTGAATCAAAGGGTCAATTCGGGTACCTCATCCAAACACCCGCCCGAGTAACTGGGAGGTGTCAGTCGCCCTTACAGCTGCTCGTTCACCGGACCTCACTCACTTCCCCTCCCCACCCATTGATTGTGACTCTTCAGCCAATGCATCTACCGGCTACTATTGTTCCATATGTAAACCACCGTCCAGCAAGAGAAAACCAAAAATGCTCCCTTACGAAACCCTAGTGATGTGATCTACGTTTCAGTCGTCAATATCCGTAGTCTGTCAAATTGGGCAACGGAAATTTCTCCGTTGTAGTAGCTGATTCGATCAGCAGCGCGTGTGCCCGTTCGTAAGCCGTCAGTGGATTGTTGTGTGACTGTAGTGGCTGATTAGGTATGTCAGATAATCTGCACTCGTGCATGCCCGTTCGCCAATACACCAGAGAATACTTGTGTGATACCTGGAATTGTGATCCGAGTTGTATACGTACCTTTACAGAGCCGACCTATGTGGCCGCATGTACACAATACATCCATGCACTTACATACGTGTTTTCTAAGATGCTTTGAGCCCACAGTATCTTTGGAACCGTGTTTTCACTGTCTGCCGATGTTTGTTGTGCCTTCAGCACACGCATGCAAGGCTACGTTTTGGCCGCGAACCATGAGCCGCTTGAGGGCCTCAGCTACTCCATATTTCACTTTTTGGGCATCTGCCAATCCTAATGGAATGTCCCGTAGTATATGTGGTGTAGGTGTTGCACTCATCGCCTAGGGTGAAATTGCTTTACTTGACTAGATCTTAGTGCTGTGCGGTTATCTGGCTTAATTAGGAAAACAGCGGGGCAATGCAATAAACTACTTGTTTGCCCTATCGCCATATGCCTTGAGAGATGGTTCCAGGTGATTTTACCGTTAAAACCGAATTGATATGCAAATGAGTTTTTCACGAATTACGTGCAATTAGGATTCAAGTTGTACATAAAGTTGACGGCAACTCGGCGACTGTGCCTATCTGATAATGCCCGAGAAGAGCGAAACCTATTGAGGACTGTTGAAGTGTTTTCAGCAACCTCATGGGTAGTGTATTACCTGTGTGGATGTATCGCGATATCGAATACAGTACCACCTGTAACATGAAGCGACCTAGTGCAGTACATTCAGTTGTTTGGAATACATCGTAACCTAGGGATTCAACTGGATCCCAGGTAAGTATCCTATCAAAACCAAATTGGCATGCAAATGAGTATGTTTTGCTGCGAAGAAATTGGTTTACAAAGATCTCGTGACTGCTTTGGTTTGCGAGAAAAACGGATATGGTCCTCTGGCGTGTAATATGAACGCCCAAGGTAAACCATTAAACCAGAAGAATCACTGTCAAGTGACAGATTTGAAGTCAGTGCTTAGCGTCCGGAAAACTGGGGCCGTACTCCAAGGGATCGCGGAAATAGGTATCGAAGTAGCGATGAGGAAGAACTCGTAACGTGAACTTTGTGGGAGTATTTTCTTATTTGGTGATGGATTCTAATTTTGACCTGGCTTTTGCACTTTCAGAATGGAGTGCCGTCGTTACGTGCTTACACCCTTGTCTTTAGTAAATTTGGCCTAGGAGCCCGAAGTTTGTTGGCCGGTTCGTGCATTTTACAGGCTGTTTTGGCCTGAGTCGAACTACCACTGAAGTCAATATATGTGTAATAAGGGAATCTGGAATATTCCCTGGCTTGTGTCATCAGTCGCATTAGAAAGGCATTTGGGGTGTTGTGCCTAAGAGCCATCTATGTAGAGGGTTACACTCAAGCTGAGATCTGCCCTGTCCGCTCCGAACGCGTCAAATGTCCTAGTCTTCACTGCAGAGCTGGCGTTAGTCCCCGACATCATGTCTACGATAGATGTTCGTAAGAGTGCTTAATGCAAGTTTGTAATCTCCGGAGCAGCGAATAAATCTTGTTAGTTATAGTTTGCACATGTATGGCTAACATCCAAACACTATCTACCAAAGAAATCGGTGCTTTACTTCTGAGCTGCTTGTTGGCAGAGGCCTCGTCGAGCACATGCTATTACGTTGAAACGAAAAGTGAGTACTGTTAGGCCTTCGTCTGTTCCTTCCGGGGTTCCATGTGGTTGTCCTTGCACATCGTTGTAAACCCTATGTAACCTATCCTAGTGGTGAGCAATCTGATACCGATTAGCCGGGTTTTCCAGCTAGTTTGTATGTCCTTATGTGCTTGGCTCATATTGTGTCAGATTCACAAATGATTCTGAATCCAGTCACTTTATGGGTTGGAAGTATTCGAAAGCTTTACCCAGCTTCCGAAAGAAAGCACTTTCATCTGTGTCCTGTATAAATATCTGTATGAAGTTTTCTTATTTATTAGAAGCTGGCTTACCTTATATTTCACGAGAATACATCCATCCCTGATTTCTTCCGAAAGAGACCATATCGTTGCAACATAAAAGTTATAAATCATGGGTATATTTGCCAATTTTTTTTAGTTTTACCGCTTAAAGAATTCGTTCTATCGGCGTGCTCGCTAGTCGCATCCTTCTCGGGAATGGACGGGAGTGTGACGAGAGTGTACTCTGTTTTATTTCATGTGTGCTAATAAAGTTCACCTTGATTTCGGAGCAGATCAACGAGTGTACGATGGCTTTATTCTGTATTTGGTCGAAGTAGACGAGTCTTCAGTGACTGTTCATTACTTTTTGTTAACAGTCGCAATCCGTTCGTTTCAGACAATGTTGTTTCGATTACTCTACACACGATTTGAAAACGAATAGCCTTCCGTTGGACTGTGATGGATAATCCGCTGTGCTTTGACGATGACATTTTTGTTGAAACAAGCTCCAAAGGGAGCCTGGCGGAAAAGGTATTCCGCCCAAAGTGTGTAGGCGGACACGTAGGTTGCCTTCATAATGTCTTTTGATTTCCCATAGTTTCAGGGGAACAGCAGTGATCCAGAGTCTTTGAAGATCTTGTGTGATTGGCTCTACTTAAACAAACAGTTCGATCAGTGTCTAACTGTAGCAAGAAATCTACTCGGTTTGTCTAATAAGCTCGATTTCCTTTAATGAGTCATCCAGATTCTGCTCCTTCGAGTGGAGGCTTTTGTATCAAATTCTACGTCGAGTGCTGTATAAGGTGCTGCCTTAAACTTAAAACATTGGACGTCATTCCCGTACTCCTGCGACAACATGTAAGTTATTGTTTTTTTTATTTTACTGCTTATCAGAACTTGGCAACAGTGAGTTTAGAAGATTCGATAAATCACTTACGTCTACATATGGATTATGCACGGGAGATTAATTCCCATTACGGTGAGTTGCTGTGGATTTCGGACGTTTAATTGGAGTGCGAATTAAGTTATGACATTTTTGAATACACTGTTCTTCCGTTGCGTCAGAAGCTACTGCTATTTGGGACGAAGCACCGATAGAAAATCTAATCACACATTAGTCGACATTCTTGCATCGGAAATATTGCTTGCATTGCACGTTTACTCCATCCGATACTCAACCACAAAAAGCCCAGACTACAATAAGACCTCTGTTTGGTGTGCACTCCTCAGTTAGCACGACAAACAAGTGAACATTCGCACAGCCTCCATACGATTTCGGCCCAGTGATACTACTAATCGGATTTTGTTCTCTGGTTATGTTTCCTTCCCGCTCCGATAGCTCCTTGGTTGATCCACTCAAACTTGTGAATAGCAAATTTCAATGTAGAAGGGCGATCTGGGCTTCCTGATAAATGGTTATTCCAGTCGTTGTATGGAAGGTTCTCTGCAATAAGGCCAATCTTTAACAGAAGACTGTGGTAAGTTGTTGCGTTGGATCGTGGATCGCGAGAGAAACTTGAGGCCCATTCAGCTCACATGATTCTTTTTTTCCCATATGCTGCCTTACTCTACCGCGGAAATTCACTGCCTCATAGACGAAATAATGATTTATGTACCAATGTCTACACTGCACCGCCCACCATCTGGTTGACTGATTCCATCTGATGATATCCAGCCCAGTTAAGTTGCTCTCTAGTTTACCGTGACCCGAATCTGAGGTAAAATAATCCCTTCTCTATTACTACCATTTTAGACATCCTACGCTTGCTACAATGCTTCATACTAGCCCTTCCTTACACATTCACATTGGAAGTAGATGCACGTCTACCCTGTATTCAATCGCTCTGGTGGCAAGAACTTGCATTTTTATGGACACATGCGTGCAACGAGTTTCCCTATTCACCCTGGTTCAGCAATGTGGCAGATCTCTTTGCCAGGTTGACAGTCGTGAGTATTCATTTTGTCGTCCCTGCTTTGTTTTGCTTTCTGATGAATAGCTTGACCCGAGTTCATACAATCGGCAATTTTTATACAATAATATCACCATAATGAACAACAGCTGGAAAGCGACAATGGCACTGTATACCTATCGATGACCAGAGATCCGATTGTCGATTCCTACACAGTTAGTACAGTACTCCATCGTACTGATGTTGCAGGCACGGAGTTTATTTTCACTACTCGTTTCGAAAAAAACGTCCTTCGAAAACATACATGGACTTAATCTGAAGCATCTTCGCTATAATCATCCTGGTGGTGAGAACTATCGGTTTATTTCGTTAGTGCTAATACCAAACAGTCTCGCTAGTGATATTTTTCTTGATAGAATGATTATTTATTTGTTCGCAGCTATGAGTGATCGAGTGCTTCAAACGCTGATTTTTAAACACAGATTATGTAACGTGAATATTTCGACTTTGCCCATCAATGTGATTATCAATGGAGGTGAAAAATGGGGTCGAAGATCGTCTGTAACAATTGAAATGATAGAAGCCGTAGATGGCACATGCAGGATCCTAATTCTCACATAGCGAAGTCTGAACTCTTTAAACGGCACACTTTCTCATTTGTAAGTAGCGTGCGAAGCTTTGCCGAAGTGGTGGCGGCCTGACACCTACTTCGTTATGAACACGTTTCAGCGGGCAGATTAAATAGGTTGCCAGCTGACGATCATTTTTATTTTTCTGATTTTCAGTAAGGCCTCTCTAGTTCGAATGAATTTTACTTCCGCTCTGATGGTGCAAGTGACAGCGCCTGACTATGTTAATTCGGGCCCTGAAATTTTTTTACCCCGGTTGCGTATGTAAAACACTATTGAGTGTGCGAGCATTATCCGAATTCGAACAGTGTCAACAAAGGAAAGCCGTGTCTTCTTATTACCCGTAAACCTTCCCGTATAAAGTGACCGGTATATTTGAAAACAGCAATCTTTTGTGTCAATGCAGTCGTTGTGCATCGTAACAAGCAGTGGCCTATCAACCAACCCAGGATAGTGCCTATGGTCGGCTTCAATAGCTAGGCAGTTACATATCCGCAAAAAAAACTTCAAAACCCAGTACATTATTTCTAATCTGTAGACATACATGAACGTATATGCAATTTTCTGTCGCAACAGTGGTTTGCTTAACGCCTGTCGATCCCGAGTTTACGGTTGCTTCGTGCAATCCATTCTTCAGAATCCGTGGTTCGGAATATGAACTTGCTTGACAGGACCACGAACACTTAGTGCCGTTTACTTATAGTTTAAACACTTCTATAACTGAGTTATTTTGTTCTGTTTGGAAAAACTCAACATGCGTCCGTTCTGCTTGATTCGCAGCGACAAATGGAGCATGTCAGATTAACCGTTTTCTAATGCATTTCCAGGGAAGAGCCTGGATATCGACTTCGTGAATTTGCCTTGTGGATCACGCATGCCATTTGCTCACCGAATTCTATTCACTGGTGCTTGAGGTGTATTAGTACATGCTCTTCTGAAAATAAATGTGTCCAAAGTACCTAAGAACATCAGCTTGCCCAGAAGGATTGCGAAGACATGATAAAGTTGAGTTCAAATTCGTAGACTTCCACAGTGAGTGGCTGTCAGATCAGGGACGTGAGTGCTACATGAACGCTGCACTCTGATGAATCCTGGTTTTCCTGATATTTTTAAAACTGTTTGGGCGATTTGTGTGGGACTATAGTTAGATCTCGTTACAAATGAAGTCAATGAACTCCTGTTAGGTTCTGAAATACGATGCAGTTGAATGACACATTTCAAAGTGGTATTTTTGAATTGGCTCACTACATCAACTATGGTTAGCGTCACTTAATCCTCTCAATAGGACATGCATTCGTTACGAAAGCATTCCAGTATCTCTCGGTAGTGTTTCCTCGTGTAGGTCAGCTATGTTTACCAGCGGTTTTGGAAACGTGAGGATCAGATTGCTTTTTTCATCTACAGTCTGACCTTCATTAGCCCAAGTCCTCTCGGTAAGTTAGAGATAGCTCAGTGGTTCAGTTGCGGACATACTGACTGGTAAGTCCGTGGTTCGAACTCAACTCTGACATCCCCACTCCTCCTGTGTAGGCTTGAGCAAGCTGATAGCTCACCTCTCGTATGACATGGCAGAGACACAAAAAAGGTGTTAAAGCAGAAGGGTCACTGTCATTGTTAACTCCGTTTGATACTGTGTTTCTATAGTATTACGCGACAGCTCCGTCAAAGGTATCCCTGCACCTGTCTTCTAATGGATATTCTATCGCGTCTCATTTTAGTCACAAGCTGATCAACTGGAATGGAATCCAGATGTTTTGGATAAGCATGCAGCCAATGAATGCAAGGTAGGTTCTGCTTTACAGCAGGCTCCAGCGATAAAAGGGGATTGTTTCGTAGTGGACGCTGACGTGTCAATAGACCCATCTTATTAATTTATAAGTGGACAGCAGTGGACTGTCAACAAATAAGTTACTCAGCTGCAAACCAAGTGCAAAGGTTGGATAAGGATGAATCTCTCGTTTTCTTGCACTTTTCAATCCAGTGGACTTCGCATTGATGCCTGCGACTTACGTCCTGTCCGTTGGGTTAATTATCCGCCTTTGTTAATTACCTTATTGAAAAGTCAAATGAGGTCATATTGTATTTGTTTGTGAAGGATAAGTTCCAATCCCAAATACTGGAACACAATTATCTTGAATTGCCATTGGGGTCTCGGAGAACTGTATGGGACAAACTTACCTCGATTGGCGTGAACTAATTCATCCAAACACCAGTTGCGTCGACCGTTATATGTGCATAAATCCAGTCCAATTTCTGCGAATTTCTACAACTGAAACCCTTCGAACCAAAATATTACCCCAGGGAGCCACTACATCGAGGAACTTTGGACCATAGAGTTTTCTATGTACACTGTACGCTCTGGTTTGTTGAATTTTCGAAGATACCGTCAGCTAACCTCGATCATTCTTTCAGACGATAGCACAAGGAATTCTGAAGAAGCTTCGGCATCCAGATGACGCCAATGAACAGTCAGCCACTCCTGTGGTGAATGAGTGTCCAGTTTGTCACAACTGCCCATCACCAAGGGCGACAGAATCTCCGGCCGCCAGCGTACTTAGCATATTTTATGAACAATTTGTATCGCCTTTTTCTACTTTTTTCGAAGAAAATCAAACCTGCACATAATTCTCCGACATGTCCTGACTGCTTGGTGGTACGCCTTACTATACGTATTTTCAGCTATCACCGTTGAGATAACACAACAAGGTATGCTTATTAGATTACTTCGTAACTGATCCGCATACCAGACTAATCTCAGCCAGTGATTCTAGGAATGCCTCTTCAGGTGTAAGGATTCTCCTTCGGGGCTGTGGGTCTGATGGAATGACCGTACCTTCTGGCAAACGATGCCAAAGCTTGGACACATTGACATTAAATTCGGGCGTTGCACGCTCAAGACAGCTCGCTGAAGAGAGACTTTCGCCTGCCTGCTATACGACAGCAGGTACACTTCCTCCATGAATGCCGGCGAAAATGTATCCTTCCTCGTAGAGTAACCTATCTACCACCACAAAATCATCCATAAACTTCAATGTTGGCGAGACGGAGTGGCAGGCAGATGGTCAGGCTAATGATTACAGATGCACATAATCTCATTAGAAAGTACGACAGAATAGTCAGTGAGAGTATGAGACCTGAACTTCTACAACAATTCAGCATTGCAATGGAACGAAAATCCAGATCCACCGCGAAAAACAAGAAAATGTCTTGAGAACAAACCCGCTAGGTAAGTTGGTAACCGAGAAAAGGAAGACAACCATGCTGCCTTGATAAAAAACCTTTCTAACAGACAGCTCACAGAAACAGAACAGTGTTCTAACCAGAGGACTCGATTTCAACTCCAGACGCCACAAACCTAGAATACCTAGCTCGTCTAGAGGTAGCTATGAATTACACTCAACTTGATGAGGACACTCAGCAACATCTCCGTCAAACCGTAGTCCCAGTAGTCACACAACACGGTATTCGGTGTTGTCAAACAAATAAAGAAAAATGAGGCGATCATCATTCCAATGGCTAACAAAGAACGTCTGACAGTCATTGTGGACAAGCCGGACTACATCAGTATGGTGAGAGCTCCACTGAGCGACACGAATGCGTATTGCCGCATGAAGCATGACCAAGGCAAAACTTTTCCGAACGAAATCAATTGAAAACTGAAGAAAGTCCAAGAGCTTCAAAAGATCACAAAAGTACTGGAAAATGAGAACTCAAGACCCGGCCATTCCCCACTTCTACGGACTCGCGAAAGTACACGACGAGACAACACCACTACGACAAATCGCATCGCTCCCGGGGACTCCAACCCAGAACCTGTGGATGAGATTGAAATATCTAATCGGTGGGTCACAACACAGGGCAATTCTTAGAGAAACTGAGGAACGTAAGCATCGAAATAATGGTTTATTCTGATGTAAGCTCCTTTTTCGCATCGGTAGACCTGGACGGCGCCAAGACAACTGTCGCCGAACTAGCGAAATACATTCATTTGCAGACAAATTTGGTTTTGCGAGAGACCCAACTGAAACCCGGCTGAATCGTTTACGACGTCGAAGAATTCCCAGCAACCTTATGGGTAGTGTATTACAGGTATCGCGTGTCTGACGAACCTGTTGGTACTTAGCCCTGTGCTGTTGCTGCGAAGGGCCAACTAACGCGGCGGCACAGCGTTTGGTGGATATACAGTTAAGTGACTTTATCCAGATGGACTCCATCATTTGGGGAGGGGTAGCTTCCCTAAGAGATCTGTTTGTCTGAGATGATGTCGTTATCATCGTTCTTAATTTTACTACCAACATCGGTTACCAGGAAAAATTACAATTTGCGAATCTCGGCTGCAGTGGAGCTATCCATCAAAAACAGAGTGCCTCAAAAAATAGTTTATTACAGTCGCTTTACATTCTCAAGCCAGTTGCGTAACATTACACTTCTCTGATTCTTCATTCAAAAACAAACAGGAGAATACATGATTGAAAAAATCTGGATGATACTGACAGGCCCGTTTGCAGTCCGGGGAATAATTAACTTCACAGATGACAGGATGCATAAAATGACACTGGGAGCCCGCGCCTATGGGACCAACCTTCCTAGTGCGCCATTCGAGAAGCAAGTCGATAGCATAAAGTGCACGAGATTGATCACAGGGGACGAAGCCTCTTGGTGCAGGATTACTTGATGCAGCAACAAACAGGTCCACAATGGTGTTGTATATATTTGCCTAGAGAAGCACGAATGTAAAGGTGGAAAATCGAGTAGGTAGAACCGTCGCAAACCCCATTCAACCAGCGGTTGGCCAGTTAGCTCTACTAATGATCAGGAGAGTAGTATTACAGCCAAAGGATTAGGCGAACGCTCGTGAAAACCACAATATGATCAACGCGCGTACACAAAAGGAGACCGAAACCGAATGTGCTGTTGTGCAGCACTGAGATTTCTCGTGATTTCATACTAATGGAATTACGGTATAATGGAAAACCCAACCAGAGTAAAAAGTACCTAAATTGGTAGGGGAGAATCACATTCTAGAGCAGGAGTGATACAAACTCAGCCAGTCTATCTAACTAATACGCCACTCATACTTTTCAGATCCGATGATGGGGTCGAAATAGTTGCATAACAATGGGACGTGGAGCTTACCTGAACGTCGCGCCACGTGGTATTGGGATACTGTTCATTAAACAGCTGGATGAATTCATCGCAGTGGATCTGCAGTAAGCCAAAAAATAACTTTAAGTTGACTCTATGTACCAGTGCATGACATTAATAGAATAAGGCGCACGAATCAATAAACTAGAATCGTTCATGTGGCACACAAAAAACCGAGCTGTTAAAAACACTGTCTTATATTCAATACGGCAAACTAACCTGTTTCAGTGTGTCATTTTCACGGTAGTTCATTACCGTAAAATGTATGTTGTAGTCATCAAAATTGGAAAGGCAGAATGCTCTGCAAGAGACACGTTGAGAACATGTGATATGTCACGGGGATGAAACTTTGGAAGGGATTATAGACAAAATGTACGTCGAAACTAGAAAGCCTCCACACATTAAAACCGTGGATGATCTTTTGTGGGAAGCTTTACTTGCGCAAACCAGTAGACCTATCACATAATAATTAATGTGCTATCACTCACTTGTTGGCGAAGCGCAGCCAAAACACATTGTAGACGTAGAGCTTCAACGGATGTACAGATCGCAAGAAGACCACATAGCGTACATCAAATTTCACGTTCGCGTTGATGTCCTCCCGATAGAAAAGAACGGGATCCGTGATGTAGCGGCTTGCAATCTGGAACCGAAGTCAAGCACAAATAACCAACGCCGTAACAGAAAAGAGACCAGACCTCGGTACTGACAGAAGATCTAAACAAAAGGCATCAAAATGCATCACGTTGGAGAGCTATAGGCCCTATAAAACACCTTACTTATAACTGGAATCAGTATCCTCCACTTATAGGAAAAGCCCTAGCCAAGCAACAGCTCTAGGACGTTTTTAACGACAGGGCCCTGTTTCACCTGTCCGCTTGCCTCCATGTATGGATGGCTCCCACTATAGTTTCAGCGTCTGTCGGAGGAGTAAGAAGCTGGGTACATCTACAAACGTATATGCTCCACCTCCCACAGTGACATCATCCGAACCCGGCGACAATTTATCAACGCTTGAGTAAATGCCTGTGTGATGAATACTGTTGTTTTGCGAGGTCAACCTTGAACGGAAACGTAAACGGCGACATGGTCCCATTTACTAGGTGTCTACTTGAAAACTGAACTGTCGACTGCTTCGGCAGAAAAGTCGACTTGGGTACTCGGAGGTTATGTAGTAACGTTGGTTACGGGATGGCATACATGGTAACAGGGTGAAGAAAAACCGCCAATCAAGTTGCTCAGTCCAGCCAACTGATGTAGCAAAATTCTACTGAAAATCCCTAGTTTCAAAAGATGAATCCAGGCCTGACGAATAAAGTGAGCCGAAGAGTTTTGATAAAACAAAATGACCGCCATGGATGGCTCAAAAACGTTGGGACAAGCACGGAGCAGCTATTCCAGTAGGTTGCACTGTTTGGGTGCATGTGGGAGTCTTTAGGATCTAATAGGTATGCAATTTAAACCATTAAACCTTCATATGAAACGTATCTGTTTCCTTCACACTACGAAAGCTTCTTTTTCACCAGAAACGCAGAATTTCACATCACTCCTACAATAAACAAATCCCTTCAGTACTCTGAGAGAAGGCTGTCTAGCTGTCTTGGATACGGAAATGTTTCAAGACTCACAGAGGAAGGCATGACAAGGAGAAAAACAGCAACGGTAGGCGTAAAAAGCGTGATGACGGTGAGCCTAATATATCCCAAGTTGTCACTCGTGCAATCAAGACCAACATCACAGCGAGCACTGAGAGCTTAAAAATCCGAATTTCAAAACTGTAACCACATAAGTAGTGGTACAATTTTGCCCACCATGAAAACAATCCACCGCACACACGAGAAGTATTTTTTCACTCGAGGGCTATTTTAACCTGTGTAAGGCATGGTTCATTTGCCTTGATACTTTCGTCTGGTTAATGTGTTTAGAAAATTAAGAGGATGAGGGCGGGGGGTGTCTGCACCACCAAAAAACAGAACTAAAAAGTGACTTATTGCAGGACATTTACGCGTATCAAGTCATTTGATAACCAGACCGGTCACACTTGGTAATCAAATTTCCTCGGTTCATTCATTACCAAAGTGCAAGAAATTCATCAAAATGACGGGAAGGTATGCGGTGCCAGGTGAAATCAAGGAAAAAGCACAAAACACTGGGGCACATGAGAATGGTGAACGATTCTAGTTTTGACTGCGAATCATAACTTATAACGCTCGACCACATTAAATTTAGACTTACGAGTGGATTCGTGTCAGAAAGTCTAATAATCTGGTTCAAATTTTCCGAAATATTGATACCCAGGCCTCGTCCGAGGTTCCATGGCTTGAGTATCCACAAGTTGCGCTCACATGTCGGAGGAAAGTCAGCAGAAGCAGCTCGAGAGCCACGGATCTGTTTTCGGGGGCACGCAGCTTTTGCACACACCGAGGGACTGGGCGCTTCGGCGGTATTTATTCGATCCTGAATAGAACGATACGACTGGATCAGAAGCGTCAGCGGAATAGGGCACACAGTTGGAATACATTAGGTAGTGCAACTCGATATTCGTGCAGCCTTTATTACGATATCAGATGAGTCAATCGGTTAAAGCGAACTGTCCTGAAGCAGTTCAGTATTTCAAGACAAAGGATAGTAGAGTCAAAAGCAAAACCGGGACCATGAAAACCATACATCGATTCTGGGCTATCACTGAGAGGTTGTGTCAGGGTTGAGATACCTTGTCAGCAAGGCAACAAGATGCATTTCCTGGGATTCAACACTGATTGCTGAATTACGCAAGCCGACTTATCTATATGATAGTAAAGTGAGCATATCGGTCTGCTGAGGCGATCGTCCTAGATGTATACATATGCATTTGGAATACTCAGTAGCTGAGTCTATCACTCCGGGAGTATGTATGCCTAGCTGGCCGATGGTAAGCGACCTGCAGTTACTGTATGTCCAGCACGCATCCGATGAGTGTGCCCTGAAGTTGACAAATGAAGCGTTTAGTTGAGTTCAAGGATGGTAGGTGGCTTTTGCTGCTCAGGTTTGAGAATGTTCTAATATTAGCCAAGGTAAACATGGGTGAGCAAATGACTGCAAGGAAACTGAGTTGGCTAAAGCAGGTTGTCTTTAATTTATTGACTAACTCCTCTCGATATGATTCCAACAGAAGTGGTAACGAAGGCCTGGTGTTCAAGGGACAAAAGTCACTAGGCTTAACAGTCGGCCGAAGTGAACAGATGCTCGAAACGGGCGCTGGGTTCAGAATTTTGTGTAAAAAGGAAGTGGAAGGATTGCTTCACTCAGCTCTACACTTGAGATTTGGGTAGGACTCAAAACACGTGAAACCGACCGGCGCCATGAAGTGTGCAGTGATAAGTTTAACTGGTACCCACATGCTATTAGCACTTTGGAAAACCACGAAAGCGGAACTGTCGCGCTGGCTCTTGCTAAATTCTTTGCTGGTGGAGAGCGTAAAGTTGTGATATTCAATGAAGGGCAGCTCAGCAATAACCTGCTACCCTGTATACCGTATAACCGAACTGGATATATAAAACTCATACGTAGTACTCCGCGAATGCAGTCAGCTGCTCAACCCGGTATTACACGCTTAGGACGTTATACGAGAGTTTACTTTGAAGTTCACGTATTCCACACCATTAGTCAGCTAACTGAACTTATATTATGTTCACGGGCGAAACTCAAGATTCGAGTTGTTGATAACCCGAAGAAAACCATGTATTCTGTACCAACCAGGAGCGACTTCATTTTCGTTTCGTGCTTATAGAGAATAGTGGTCACCATAGCCCGGCTTTTTTGGGAAAACGAACACAGAACTAGGCACCTCGGAATAATTGTGGTAGGCTAGCGCCACGTGCCTAACCCCTTTGCTTTTATTCGTTTCTTCACAATAAGCTTTTCAAATATATTACGGTTGTACGGCAACGAAGCACCAGTGTTGATGACTGACGTTATGCTATCGATGACGGCAGATCCATCCTTTAAGGAGACAGCTGCTATCAACTTATGATCAATCATGGAGAAGAATCTGTGGGAAATCAGGAGACAAACTAACAACGACACTTTCGCGGGTTTGTCGGAATGAAACAACTACGCAAAGTAACGGGGATTTTATGAAAATCTACGGTAGTGGGCGCTGATTTTAGTGAGTGAAGGGGGTAAAGACTTACTTGTTTCTGTTGAAAGTAGGACACAAATGCAGGTAATTCGTGCACCAAATTGAAAGTGATGGGGTACCAGTTGCAGGTTAGTCTGTTGTCAATACAATCTTCTTGTGTGCAGTCGTCATTCATGTTGGTGGAAGAAGCCCACAAACTGGCAATGGCTGCTAACAGATCTTTAACAGTGACCACTTGCTCTCCCGGGAATTGGTTTACCATCTGGTGTCTCCGATCCTCTGTGAGCTCCCTAAAATGGTAGAGTCACAACAGGTATATTCTGGCGTAAGAGGCTGCCATCTATAAGTTGGAACAGTTAATACGGCAACGGAGATAAACACGTACTTGAAAGATTTGAAATGTCCGTATATCCATAAAATGGATGCATCCTTCTCCGCTGTCACAAGTTTGAACCGCGGATCTGTCAAATGCTTTGATACCAATTCGATATCCGTGAAAACGGCAAGTGGGAGTTTTGATTCACCAACGGATGATTCGGATGTGGACGAATCAACGGGTAGTGTTTCTTGAACCCGGTGAGACTGCAAATACGCAGTCAGGCGATGGTTTGAAAAAAAAACGAACGGATTACGACTAATAATCAGAGCATCGAGGAAAACATGGCGGCTAATTGCAATGCAACCGGGAGTCACGAGAGTTTTCAAATGTCGATCTAAGGCATCTGGTTATGTTACGGGTAAGGACCGCTAGTTTTTATTAGCGGAGGCTTACCATTATCATCTCCATCTCTTTGCTTACCAAGTTGATGTGTAAAAAACGTCTAAGTAAAGGGTTTTTCAACTACCCAGACAAAAAGAACCTATCCTGGCCACCGAAAATACTGAAAATTTGGTGGTCTGAATTCTCACTTCGGTGTCTTGAATGCTGAAATGAAATAGACCTTGGTAGGTGAGTTCGACCGCCGCAATTACCTTGGACCTTAAGCCATCTAGATGATCTTCAACTGTGACAGAGATTGTTGGAGCAACACCTCAGGACAATCCAAGGTTGTAAGATCTGGATCATCTAAGGGTGTGGAAGACGGACTGTCGCCTGCTAGATGGTGGTAAAACCTACAAGTGCACAGAACAAGGTTTCAACTGTCGCAGGAGATACAGGGTCAGTGCAGTGCACACATGAACACCGATATTACCAACATTCAGTAGAGAAGCCATTCCGTTGAAATGAATGGATATGTTGCGAAACTTTCAAAAATGGCAAAACGCGTATACGGGTGTGTCGAACACGGCGGTAAGAGGGTCCATAATTCGAACTGGTCACACTCACTCTGCTTAGTAGTTTCATTGTGCAGCACTACAATAAGTGGCTTCTAGTGTATCCACCGATGAGTGATGCGGAGTTTAGCGTTCTTCTAACTAACGAACAGCTTATTAGGCAATGGTCTCTGAATGACAACCATCAGTCACTGAATACGAGAACATGAGTTTCGGCGTGCTATCTTGACTATGAAGCCGCGATACAAAGCGTCGGCATACCCACTTCGCCGGGCTTGCTTTGTTTCATAGTTTCTCGGATCATATACTATCCTAAGAATCCAGTACTTTCAAATACCAACCCATCGTTCAAAATGTTCACGCAAGTGATTTGGTATAGGCGGAAAAGAAAGAGGGAAGTTTTGGAGAAATCGCACACTTTGGCGAGTCACTCTCAGAAATCGAAGTATCATACAAACATCTTCCACACTCATTACTAGAGCTCGAAACGAATCAGTGGTTAATGTAAGGATTTAATGACCAAAAGCCCGTGGTTAGAACCCGACCTCCGCATTTCGACTGCTTCTCTCTAGGCTTGGGCAACCTGAGAGCACCTCTGCCCTGATGCCCCCTTCGGCTGACATGGCAGTTGGACACCGAAAATGCATGCAGTTGAGTCATCAGTATTATTATATTATTATTACTATAAAATCCGTCACTTTAACGCGAGATGGAAACTGATAGTGTCCAGTTTCATGCCCGGGAAAGAACACGGGTGTACTGGATCAATCACACTTCAAGAAAGATTATTTGGCCCCGAAATCGGTGGCAACTGGTTCGACTAAACGGTCTTCGAGATCGACTAGTGCTATTTGGCAATAATAGATGCAAGGTGGAACGTTTGCTTTCAGCAACCGCAAGTTGAGTGCAACTTTAAATAAAGGACTGTAAATTCCCTGGGTTTGCTACGCAAGCTCCGCCTTTTGTGGCGTTCTAACAGATACTGTTCTACTTATATCTATCAACATTTTCCTCATCTACTTACATTTGGCCTTCTAAACATTTCGATTTCCATGGTATTTACGTTAGTGATTTCGACAGGTCAGAAAACCCCGTTTAACCAGCCTGTAAAATCTAATCTGCTTCGACCATCAACTCGACCGTTTTTACAAAACCAGCTCGACCTCCCTCCCATCAAAAAGCAGTTACCACGAAACACATCTACTCTGGTCTTGAAACTCAGGATCTATTGTATAACCATTCATTACATCCACTCACAAGGAAACGTGAATCGTAGAAAGGAGGATGAGCGGTGCAGTCAACCCTGTCAACCCAAGGGTAATAATTACCTCGACCATCTACACCATTCCTTGGTTCGTTTCTTTATTGCCTTAATGACCATCTAAGACCTTGTTTTAGGTTCTGCCGCCTTCCGAAAACGTCTGAAAACGAAACAACCGATTAGTCTTACTCTATCCAGAGAGGTTCCAGAGGAGGAAAAAATTCGCACGAAAACTTCAAATGTATCCCTGGTGCAAAAACTGTGAGGTAAGCACTGCTGTAGAAAGTGGTGGAATCTGTGATGGCTGTCAAAAAGGCTATCCAGATATCCAGTATCTATACTGATCTTCTCAGGTCATTGTTGTTACACCAGCCGCAATGAGTAGGATGAGGCCAAGATCTACGACGGCGAACATGTTCGTGGCAGTAGGTATCCTCCCATGTAAAATGTATGATGTTCACGTCTACAAGAGTCAAGGAAGACGACATTCACCTAAACTAAAGATAAGCACTGTAAACAGTCGTGAAGGGCTGGAAGGCCAGCGTCATGGTGTAAGACGTCGTGCGCATAAAAAATTCCAGTGAGACCCAACCACCAGTCCGCTGATTTTACGTGAAGCAGTTAGTTGACCAGACATCTAAGTGACTTAAACGCGAGGTTCGGAACCGCGGTACGAAACCACAGTTTTCTACATGTTCCCGTTCATACTGTGGAAACTTAACAGTATTCTCAATTTTTGTAACCGAGTTGCTCGGCATCTGTGCACCACAAAGGTGTTACAGTTAAAATATAAGTTAAAAAATAAGGATACGTAAAGGTTCAATAGGGCCATGTCAAATTTGAGTAGGCTTACAAGATCTCCGTGGTCCAAGGGACAAAATTATCATGCAACACAGTTAAAAATCAACTAGAATCACTTTATGAATAGAGCGTAGATAATTGCGCATTACAAAACAACAAAAAGAGTACGCTTGGGCATAAGTGAAACCGGCAAAGTGGAAACAATAAAAAAGGTTAGTTGCCGTATACCTCCCAAACAGAAACACGTTGTTAACACTGCATGGGCCGTCGCCATCAGCTGGTTTACCCCTCAGTTGTGTGGACATACTTCCAGGGTTCAGAGAGGCCACCACAGTAGTATACATCGGGAGGATATATCAAGTTCGATGGAACAACAGTTTAAGAACTTGCATACGCTTATTTTACCTTGCTGTTTGACCAGCTAAGTTTGGATGCTTCGACTAGATCTGTACCAGTCAATTGGGACAGAAACTTACTGCGAACTCTGGTCCACCTACCTGTGCAATGTGAACATGATGAGAGATAAATTCACGAAAATTGTTGTCTCGTTAAGAAATGCATCCTAATTCCGTGTTACTAGAGGTCATACTTGGTAGTGTAGGGGAAGAATTGTTGGATAATTCCTCATCAGTCTGGTAGCCGTCCATATCTTTCTCGTGCCTATCAATACCGTTATGTACTGAGACTATAGAATAATTTAGTGAAAAAAACGTGACTCGCATTGATCTTTAATTGTATCACGTGAGAGCTTTTAAGCCTACGTGAAAGCGACGTGGTCTATTGGATCTTTGCGCATCTGTATTAGTTAACTAACGACTCCACATAACGTCAGAAGTGAGTCTGAATGAACATCTTTACAACCTGACGGGTCTTTTCCAGTTTGATTAGGGGGAAGGATTTTTCAGCTGTGCAACAGTGGGACCATGTGTTGGTTCTAAATAGTGACGAAACACTTGTACCGTATAACTTCAGTGTAAAGTACTTCAAAACATACGGAGGAAATAGGAACGATGCTTTAAAAACACCAACATATTTTAGAAAATGAGTTCTTCCCAAAACTAACCGAAGGAAATGGACGCTCGAGAAACGAACCTGGAAAAACTCCTCCGACAGCACAAAAGAGTGTTGCACAGGCTCGTCCGAAAAATCGCCTGGCTGCCATGGAAGCAAGTAAAGCGGCCGCAGAATAGGATCTTTTATATGCTCCACATAATCCAATGTCAGCTCGTCTGAAGCAAGTGCTCATCCAAGTGCTTCGTACTCACCTCCTTCCAGTAGATCACAATTGGACCAAAACACAGAATAGCAAACACCCCGTGGGATGTAGAAAAATGGAACCATTCGACCTGCCGTGAGAACAGTGAGACAATGTACCAGCGTACGGTTGTCAGTTTGTGCCATCAAAATTACGGCATAAAGTGTATGTAAAAGTTATTGGGGAAGTTTGAACAAACCAGCACTCAGAGAAACGCTATCACCATTGAGGAGAATGTTGGTAGCTCACCGTAAAATTCATGAATTAGTGAATTCATTGACAGCAATACTAAAGATTAGTGCTAGTGCTTTGCTCTCATTTTGTAACCAAAGGAGAGAATTGAAAAAAGCATAGTGCATAATCCTTTGAATCAAGACTATTTGGGCAGAAACTACCAGCATAAACCCCTCAGAACCTTTACCGAATCCATATCCTGCAGCGCATAATTAGTGATCATGGAAACTCCGCGAAAAGTAGGTGGTGACGATAGCACTAAGACGTTTCATAACCCACTCATATCTCGATAGAAAGTGACAAACTGTCAACTCCCTGGCTTGTACCACCTTCCATGTGGTATGGAAAATAACAACACTCCTCGCACACCGATAATCAGACAAATATGGCGTTTGACAGCAAGTGCCAGATGAATTCCGTGAATAAAGTGTTTTATGCGTCATCAAATACCTACTTTATGCGCAAATAACCTCTACATTGTATATCAATGACGTTTGGTCATTAAATAATCACAGCTGAAGATGCAGCAGAACCTACACCTACAGATAAATTGACTAAGATCGGCTCCCAAAGAATTTCAGATCACGGCCGGTTTCAATCCGATCAGTTCACGCAACCCAGTCACTCCAAGTAGTTCAAGAAACCGGATATGGAGAGGTTACACTGAAAACTCAAAACGTAAGCAACCGTAAACCACGAACTAATTTAAAAGTACGCATTCAAACTCGGGTTGAGTAGCCACCATCGGGACGCCGGAAAAATACTAACCACCTGAAACAGGACTACTTCGGTTGGGCTTGGATAGTAGTACATTAAAACCCCAGTTAGGAGGCTGTTGATAAACCGTTCACCATTCCCCATTCAGCATAGTGTGACTCATTAAGTGACACCTATACAGTGTCCCGAAGGTGGCCACTTAACTGGAGCTTGAGCATATATCGAGATGGTGCATTTGGGGGCAACCTGATCTAGAAGAGCAGCCGGAAACAAAACTAGGCGAGGCAGCATGCAACAACCCGTAATGCTAGTCAGATTGTGTTGATGATGTGCACGTTCGGGGGAGGAGGCGTATCAGTCTGCCGTTACCGTATTCAAACCATAGACCGTCAATTTTTTCCTCATCTTCATTCTTAAGAGTGTTTAGTAACTATTGGACAGTTTAATAAACGTGAAACAGCATAGGATGACTTTGCCCTATAAATGTAAATTCCAGCGTAAACTTCACAATATTTTCGTACGAAACACAGTCAAGGGAAGCTAAATGACCTTCAGAGTTTTTTTCACTTTGTTCTTCGTAATACTTCAGTTGTCTTTGTGCCCAACGGATTTTCCCCAAAGATTAAATGCGTCATGACAGTCATTGGCAATTTACACCAACCCATCAAACTCTACGTAACACCCATTCAAGGTCCATATCAAGTGTCCGAAGTAAAACAACAGCATTGTGTCGGCCCTAAAAAAACGAATTACAAGAGTTCGAAAAATTCCATGAGTAACAGGAGGTCACATAAACTCTGAGCAGCGACTGAAGTGAACAGCACACGCGGTATAACCCTGTAGTTAAGGCGTAGTAATTCCGGCTCTTCGCTTAGCGGCTTAGGCAGTATCACAACTATCGCTCTCCTCGCAATTATATGGCAGATATGCAACGATTCAGCGCCACGGGTGAACAACCTTGCCCTCACCCCGCGAATGTTAAAAACAAGTATGCAGGAGAAAGTGATTTCAGTTTTCCAAGGGATAACATCCTGGACCTATGTACAGCCAACCCAACGACTGCTCAAAGCCTCAAACTTAAGACAGTATACACCGGGTTCTCCAGAAATAAAAGTAGAAACAGCACATTTTTCACAACCTGTTTGGTGAGCTGTTAATGAAACTCACCACCACATGCCTACTGGCTGAGATCCATAGAACACAAGACAAGCATGGACTGGAGAACGTAACCAGGAAATGCCATACCTACCATACAGCGTCCAAAGTAACTATATCATGAGTAACAAGAAGGAACTAGGAATCTATCAGAATACCGTTGGGTTGATCGGAGTGAGCGATTCGGGATCCGACTTCGTCAGGCACGTACCACCTGATTTGCTGAGACTCGGATGATGGTCGTGGCATGTCCCCCGACGTTTCAATGGAAACTTTGTAGTAGCGGCAATACCTTTAATAAAAACAAGGAATGAGTAACTAAGGGCGACTTCAAAACAACAACCGAAGAAAACGTACGTATTTACTAACAACTCTTCTGACTATCCTGGGGAAATATTGGTGAAACGCACTCTTATACATTTATACATATCTCCACCGCATCGGCCAGCATGTACCACGTACGAAGCTAGAAACAACTCGGGAAATTATGAGCCACATCACAGGGTGTACAGCGAACTGACGCAAACATATTTACCTACGTGAAATCATAGGAAGGAAATGCATGCAAAACAGGGTAACTCACTTCCAAACATTTTCACAGACTGCTTCAATCAAGTCCGCTCGATCCCTACTCGTTTGTTTGATGGACATCAGATCCAGCATTCTATCCAGTAAGTTGGGAAACGCTATCAAAGACTGTCGCATCGAGTTTAATTCAAACGTCCAAGCATGGTCTACAAGGAAGATCCTTTAAAACGGTGTCCTGAGAACGAAAACGATAAGCCTACGCATTCGGGTCCATCCTTTGCAACCTCTCGCAATTTAAAGCAATTTGCCAATCGACAGAATCGTCTTCCTCGTCACCACCATCTTCATACTCAACACGATTCATAACAAAGTATGCACTGGCATCATATATCTAGAACAATGACCAAGACTTGATATAGAAAACCTCATCCAAAAGTTTCTTGTGCAACGTCATCCAAAAATGGCCGGGAATACCGCCAGAGCGAAGCTGTTGCTCATGAATGGCGAGAAATTCGGGAAAATCAATGCGGACAATTCCGTTTACTTGGTCCTGAAAGTGAGAAAAGATCCTATAATGCGAACAGAAGTATGACAGGGAACCCTAGTGTGCAACAAGCGAGCTACCCGACTGGCCCAGAAGCATAAGAGAAGCTATTAAGACTGATTTCTGATGGGGTGAGGTGTGGTGGATCATTCTCTAATTCAAACAAGCCCATCAATGACAGCCCAAAATCAGAGGGAATTACTCACATACGTAATCCCACAGAAAACCATAATTGGCCTTTTATTGAAAGTATGGTTTGCCCGGGGATCTATGAAAGAAATAGGATGAACCTCGAGAAGCCCCACAAATGACGACAAGCAAAATGACATCTTTCGAGTATGATAGAAGACTTCAATTCGAATACAAGATCGGCGTGTGGCAATCCAGCTAAGGATGCCCTCGTTCTCTTAGATCTAACCCCTACGAACTTCAAGTTCTCAGGGTTACACCGGCGTTAGTATCGCCCTGAAATCCCTAGCGCGGCTTTCCTATTCGATCGGATTCCCTGAAATAAACATCTCTGCGCTCCCAACTAGCATAAGAGCATGTACCAACCGAAACAATATCAGTTATCATTTGTAGTTCTCGTACACACATAAACCAGCTAAATTTCAGTTAAGGATGCCTTTTGTCGAGAACGAGCCACTCTTAAACAGCACAGCTTCAGGTGTGATAGCCACTGGTGCTCTTATTGAATAACTAGAAAGTCTCGGTTTATTAAAATCACCCCTTGGTGGCTTGCGCAAATTGGACTCAAGATGTAATAATAATGGTAAAGATATTTTTAGCTTTGGGCTAGTCCTTAGTGGTGCTTTAGACGCAGTAGACGCCGTTGAGCTACCCAGCCAGATTGATGTAGCCCTTGGCACCAAGTGGAAAGTTTTTATTAATCCTGCTGAATAATTCACATTGTTTGTGACCATACATTCGTCCGGTGTAAATTTTCGAT